GCGCTGTCCACGGGCTCATCCAGGTTGGCCACACTCGTGGCACCACTCTGCCACACCTGAGGGGTGATGGGGGGGGGGGGGTGCGGCGGAGGGATGAGGCCGGGGATCTCATTCGTGGGGCGGGATTCATAGGTATTTTGTGAGCCGCCTGATGCAGCCAGTTGCAACACTCAGCACAACAACTCGTGCACTGCCAATTTAGCCGGCCGCATCGCACAAATCCGTCCTCACATACACGCAAGTGAGGCGCCCCGCGACCCCCACTTGGCCCTCATCTAGGCCCAAAATTGCCCCCCAAAAAGAAACACCACGCGCACGCCAGCGCACACCTTCTTGGTCGCCTTGCCCCCCTTGCCCGCCAGCCGCCCCTTGATCTGCACCTTGATGCCCCGCACGTCAGGGCGCGGCTCTGTGGCCAGGACCTGGCGAGGAGAACAGGGATGGGGGGCGCCGTCATGTTGAGGTGGTCCCGCCCCTCACTCATGTGGCCACAGGGGCATCACTCCCCCTTGTGGAGCCACGTTTCCACTTAGAAAACACCCTCTTGCTGCCGGTAAAGAGTGACGTAAAGCGATGCAATGATTGGGTGGGGTCGACAGCTCCATGCTTGCCACATGAGTGGACCGCCATCACTGGGCACGTGTGGTGCGCAATGTTTGCCGAGGGCGGGGCCTCTGAAAACCTGTCTGCGGCGCCGCGAGGTGAGGCCAGGGCTCCCAGTGCGCAGCCGCCCCGCGCTGCGAGGCTGCTCACTATGCCTTGGGACCTCAAGCACCCTCACCACGCGTGTGTGCCTCCCACAACTAGCTGCCTTACACCCCACAGCACTAACCTCATCGTCCGCTGCAACAACGCCCCCGCGCCCACAACACATAGACACATAGACACTCGCACACAAAAAGAGATACACACACAAAAAAACACAAAAAACAAACACAACAAGAGGTAACGTAGACACGCAAACACACACACACATTCATCCACACACACGCGCACACAACCTTACCCTCATCCTCCCCTCACCTGCACAAAGAACCTCTCGATCGATGAGAAGTCCTCACCCAACTCCAGCACCATCTGAGAAGGGGGGAGGGGCGGGGGCGGTCACGCACAGCTGGCCGGCACGGGCAGGCAATCAGGCAATCGGGCCAAGGGCTTGCGCCGAGAACAAGAGCAGGGGCAGCCAGCTGCTCACTGCGCCTCTCCCTGCACCTCTGTTGTCTGCACGACTTCCGTCATCCGCTAAACCTGGCAGCCCCTCTCCACCCGAATGGCACACGTGACTGACCCGGGGTTGGGCAGCAGTGCGCCGCCCCGCTCAGCACCCACCGCACCTTAAGCCACTCCGCCACGGCCTGTGCGCTCTGGAAGATGTCTGTCACCACAAAGGGGGTGTACAGCACGGGGGCACCAGCCACCTGGGGAGCCAGAGGCGGCAGGCGGTGGGGGGGCGGTGTCAGCAACGCGCGCGCCGCACCTCGAGGCCCGAGGTAGAGCTCTCACTGGCGCACCCGCTGCGCGCGGCGGCAGGTCCTGGCAGCACCCTGGCCGCACCGCCACCGGTGCCCAGGCCACAGGCGGCATTGACGGGGCCCTGAGGCGTACACAGGGCGCACACCATCCTCCCTCCGCCGCCCCGCAGCCTTTGATGTGCCGTATTCTGCAGGGGGGGGCGCCTGAGGCTACAGCCGGCTGTGGGCCACCCCAGGGTTCTCACATCTCTCAAGGTTTCGTGCAGCAGCGCCATGGACTGCGCCGGACCCAGGTCCCACCCAATCTGCCGAGGGGTGCGCAGCTTCTCGCCAGGTGGCGCCAGCGCCTGCAGCAGCTTCCGCTGCGCGAACGGGGAGTGCGGACCAAGAGGGAGGGGAGGTGATGGCGATGGCGGCAGGGTCAGGGCTCAATGCTGCCAAAAATGCCTTCACACCCGACCAGAAGTTATGAACCCAACAGGAGTTGCATGCAGGGTTGCTCGGGCGCCGGCAAGACCATGGCGCCCCACCAGCTGCCAGGTCAGCTGCCAGGTCGCCACCCCACGGGGCGCGATGGCACCGACCTGGGACTCGGGCAGCTGCCGCAGGGGGTCGCCGCGGCTCGGTCGTGCGGCGCGGTACGTCGGGGGCGAGGTGTCATCCCCAACAGCTGGCGGTGCGCTGCCACCGCCAGCGCCAGCGTTTGCTGCGGCTTTGGGGGCCGCGCCGCCGCTGCCTTTCTTCGCGAAACACCGCCGCTGCTGCACGCCAGCGCCGCTCGTGCTGCAGAGCGAGCCGCTGAAGGCACGATCTTCGTGCTGCTTCTCGTCATGCAAAGACGTTGCCCACTGCGATGCGAGCCGCTGCAGCAGAGACGACGACGTTGCGGCACCTGCACCTGCATCAGCGGCAGCGCCGGCCGGGCCTAGGCCAGGGTGCCAGGCAGTCCGTCAGGAAAGTGGGTCGATATGTTGCTTGGAAGACATTTTTGGAGATTCTCTAAGCAGATAAAACATACGGTGTAGTGCAAGCCACTAGTATTGCACGCTGCCCACCTCTCAAGAGCGCCACAGCACTCCTCATTTTGATTCAAAGCGCTTAGGGTGTGCGACAGGAAGCAGATGGCGACCAGATCTCTGCGACTTGTGATCTGGCGTTGAAGCCGCTTTGTAAAGGCCGACAAGCCTGATTCTGAGTCTCAACAGTGCGAATTGCTGCAGATTTTGACAGTTCACACATTGCAGGCCTCTGTGTGAGGTGAGCGCACAGAGGTGCTGAGGAGGTGCTGCTGCACATGTGACTTGGTCACCCGGTGTGTTGCAGTGGAATGGCATTGCCAAAGGCACAACCATGCCCTTTGATTGCAGAATATCAGCTACCTTATTAATGCTGATCGACTCACCGATCCACGGGTTCATTGTGCCGGGCCCATCGCGTTCAAAGATCAGGTGGGGTGCAACGCGTCGGGTTGGCCGGAACTAGCAACATCACGCGTCTGCTCCCGTCTCGAGCATGCCATATATCCCCTGCACGCTCGTTGAGCCACCATACTGGCCTGCAAGCCTCGGTAGCAGGCTCGTCCAGCTCGACACCACCGGCCTTGCCCTCTTGACTCGCCCCTGCCTTCCCCGCCCGTCCCTATCCCCGCACGAAGTACCTCACCAGCCATGCAGCATCCCGCCATCCGAACACGCAGCGCGCCGGTCGCGGGGCGGGCCGCTTCGCGCCCCTTCCCTGCGAACGCCGTCAGTGCACGCCGCGTCGCCGCGCGGGCCGCGGGAAATGGCAATGGCGCTGGCGGACGCCTCAGCGGCATCACTGACCCAGCCATCGGTGAGCAGCGGGCTGCATGCAACTCGGGCATGGCGTCGTTGCATGTGGGTTGACCGGTCGACGGGTTCCGCAGCGAGGGGTGTGATGCAGTGGTGAAAGGGTTTGTTGCCCCATGCTGGTGCGAGTTGCTGGCAGCAGGCCCTGCCGATCGTGTTGGCTGAGAAGGTTTACTTGCCAAGCAGCGCTGCAATCTGCGTGTGCATGCATGCAGCGGGTGTGAGTTGGCAGCCAACCCTCGCCACCCAGTGGGCGCAGCTAAGTGGGCGCAGCTGCTGGGCAGTCGCCTGCCTGGCCGGCTCTGCGCGTCCGCGCAGGCCTGTCTCCTGGTGCGCGTGTGTTTCACATCGATGCATGCGAGCCGCAGAGGGCGCACGCAGCACCAGAATCGCGCCCGTGTACGCCAGCACATGCCACAGCCTCCCGCATGCACCACCCCTCTTGCGCCCTCAACCCCAGAATTGGTGGATGGCGCAGTCACATCGGGCCCCGACCTCAGTGTGGTGGTCAACGGCGTGAAGTTCCCCAACCCCTTTGTCATCGGCTCGGGGCCGCCCGGCACCAACTACCAGGCAGGCCTGCGGGTGGGGGCGTGCTGTTAGGGCTGGGGCTGTTGGGCCAGCGGGCTCGGGCCCGGCTCCGCTGCCCCCAAGGGCGAGTGCTGGCGGCGCACTTTCGTCTGCACTGCGGTTGGCTCGAGGCCCGGCTCGCGGCCTGGGGACGCCAGGCTGGTGGGGGCCCGTGCCCCTCGCGTCCGTCGTGTTGATCAGGATTCCTTGACAGCTGCGCCGCGTGCCGTCCTGCTCCTCGTCTTCATAGGTGATGAAGAAGGCGTTTGATGAGGGGTGGGGCGGCGTCATTGTCAAGACACTCTCGCTGGAGGCCAAAAAGGTGTGTGAGTGTTGGGGGGGGGGGTTGAAGCAGGGCGCCCTGCGGGTTTGGGTGTGTTATCTTGGTGTTGGTGATCGGATCATGTTGTTTGAGCCTGGTCTCTGACAACCCGCTGGATTGAGGGGTAATTTTTACTGTCCTGCAAGCTTTTGCGGCTTGCCGCTGCCTCTGGGACCCCTTCGCTTGCGCTGCCTTCGTTCGTTTGGCTCATCGCCGCCGAGACATTGTCGGCAGCACCAGCTAACCCCCCACACTCACGCGTCTCCCCGCAACCCCCATACCATGTGCGCATTGTGCAACTCCGTATGCCAGGTCATCAACGTGACCCCCCGCTACGCCAAGCTGCGCGACAGCAATGGGTCCGTGTTTGGCTGGGAGAACATCGAGCTCATCAGCGACAGGTGGGAGGGGGGGGCTGGGCGTGGTTTATTGGGTGTTTGACTTCCTTATGGGGCTTGGTGTCGGACAAATAGCACAAGCATAGTAGGAACACAACATACGCGACCTAGTTCAGGGAGGCTGCAAGAGCGTGATGGCGCACATCCAGCACGCTGTGTCTCTAAACGCATCGAACGCCTCGCCCCACCTAGTTATGTGAGCCAAGCGCACCTCACCCTCACCCTGCCCATCCCAGGCCGTTTGAGACGATGGTGGCTGAGATGAAGCGCCTCAAGGAGGAGTACCCTGGCAGGGTGCTCATAGCCTCCATCATGGAGGAGATTAGCAGGTGGGTGCGGCGCACGGCTCACACTTAAATGGTTGGGAGGGGGCCAGCTGCAGGCAGGGGGGCGCAGCGGGGGACTGGCCAGCTTTATGGGCAGAGGGGAGTGGTGCCACGCACAGCCGGAGAGCCGCGGCTGGGAACGCAACAAAACAAAATGAATGCGCTCTGCAACGGCGGTGCCAGTTGCAGTCTACTCTAGGAGGCTTGCCTATGGCCGATGCCAGGGGCCGGTTGCTCTGCTGACCCCCTCGTCCTGGCTCCTGCTGCTGCCCCCTCTCCCTCCTCGCCCCTTGATTGGGCCTAGGGGTGCGTGGGAAGAGATTGTGGGGCGCTGTGAGGAGGTGGGGGTGGACGCCTTCGAGATCAACTTCAGCTGCCCCCACGGTGAGTATGGGTGTGCGGGGGTATGGTTGGGCAGGCCCTTTACGGGGTGGACAGCATGGGGCAACGCTTCAGAAACACGGCTGTGGCTGGGAGCTTACCTGCCGACAGGGCGGTTGCGCGCACGTTGTGGGACGGAACAGGTGGCAGGAGGCAGCTGCCTCGTGTGGCGAGAGCTGTTCTGCCTTCCAGGTTGTCTGAACTCAGCTTTGCAACAAAGCACCCGGCATCCACCTGCCAGCCGACCAGTCAGCCATGTACATTGGCCTCATTTGGCTATCTCGCATGCTAGCCCTGCTCCATGCCGGCTCCCCTCTGTCCCCTCATAGGCATGCCTGAGCGCCGCATGGGCATGGCTGTGGGCCAGGACCCCGACCTGCTGTCAGAGGTGGGACGGGGAGGGATGCCACCAGGGTACGCGTCACCTGGACTCCTGCGTGCACCAGCGACCGAGGGTCCCTGCTCCTCTCAGATTGAGTGTCATTGCACCTCTCAACCTCCTGGCGGCTTCCTTTCCAAACCCACCTAGCTGCCACCAATTGTCCCAGGTGTGCACGTGGGTCAACGGTGTGGCCACTAAGCCCGTGTGGGCAAAGATGACGCCCAACATCACTGACATCACCGTGCCCGCCAAGGCCGCCTTGGACGCAGGTAGGGTTTCGGCTGACGCGGCAGCTGTTGTGTGTGTGTTGGGCGGGGAGGGGCCTCAGGGGTAAAGGCGGCGCTCAGGGGTTCCGTGTGGGGAGGGATCGTGCGTGTTGCACAAACATGCAGCAAGGGTTTACTTTGGCAGAGGACTTGCTACCTGAGCTTTCCTCCGAGAGAAGCTAGCTGCAAAATCCACAAGCTCCTCAGTTGAATGAACTTTTTAGTAATCAAGGAATTGATTAATGCCTCCGTTGTATGTGCAGGAGGGACAGGCAAGCACGCCCTTGTTGCGTCCTGGTGTTCTCCCCAAAGTGGGCGGGTGATTTTGGCATCCAGCCTACCCCCTCCGCCCCTTTACCCTGCAGGCTGCGAGGGTGTCGCGGCCATCAACACCATCCAGTCTGTGATGGGCATCAACCTGGATACGCTCAGGCCTGGTAGGACATCCACAGGGGGGGGGGCAGGAGGGTACGAGTCGATTTTGGACAGTTGGCAGGGCGTGAGCACAGCAGGTTGTTGGCAAAATGACATCTGCGTGGCTGGAGCCTGCCAGCAGTGGGCCCTCACCCCAACCAGTGCACCCCATGCCTCCCCACCAGAGCCTGCTGTTGAGGGCTACACCACCCCGGGGGGCTACAGCTACAAGGCCGTCAAGCCCATAGCCCTCGCAAAGGTGAGGGCGCCAGCGCACGCGTTTGCACGGGTCCTCCAGGCGTGTCTTGAATGGTAGGCAGGTGCGCCTGGCTGGCGATTAACGGTCAGATTGCAATAAGACGACGTTCCGGCGCAAGCACACCCATGACAGCCCCTGGGATCTCCCTGGGTTTACCCCACCAACGCGCCAATTCCCTGGTTGTATCCCCCTTTCTCAAGGTGATGAACATCAGCCGCATGATGGAGGCGGGCGGCTACTGCGCCAACGGGGCATCTCTCAGCGGCATCGGTGGCGTTGACAGCGGCGCGGACGCGGCAGAGTTCATCCTGCTGGGCAGCGACACGGTGCAGGTGCGGGCGCCTGCTGGAGGGCGCATGGGTGAGGTAGTCTGTCGGGTCAGGTCACCCCTCTTGCACCTGGGGTGTACATGGCGGGGTCAGCCAGGTTGTGGATGAGTCACACAGCGTGCGTATGGGGAGAAGCAGGACAGCAGACAACCCAGACTGTGGGATTTGCCTCGGCCAGGAAGTGCTCAGCAGGCTCGGGCCTGCTCACCATCGCCAGGGTTTCAGGCAACCCCATTACAGCTGGTACCTCATTCTACCCCTGCCGCCCTCACCCACAATCCAGGTGTGCACTGGCGTGATGATCCACGGCTATCCTGTGGTCAAGAACTACTGCGGCGGGTTGCAGGTGAGATGGGACCTGCTGTTCCGGGGATTGCCATCATGTGTGGGCGTTGTCCGTGTGGGTGTGTGGTGTGTGTCTCCAGCTCATAGCCTGCCAACCAGATGGCGGCCCTGCCCAGTGTCTATTACCCTGACCTGGTGTCATCCCCCCTCCCCACACCCCCAGGCGTTCATGACCAAGCATGGGTTCAGCTCCATCGCGGAGTTCAAGGGCGCCAGCCTGCCCTACTTCACGACTCACACCGACCTGGTGGCCAAGCAGAAGGCCGCGGTGCAGGCCAAGAAGGCCAAGGTATGATGTGCTTCCGCATGTGTGTGGATGCATGTGGGAGTGGGTGTATGCGTCTGTATGTAATTGCGCTCGTGCTCGTATGCCTGAATCAGTAGCCGGTGTTACGGAGCCGGGGGGCGCGCCAAGGCGCGTTTACCAGCAGGACGTGACACGTTGCCTGGGCCCATCTTGTTTGGAAGGATGGCTGGCGCCGCAGCGCATCTCCCTCTTCCCCTCGAGGCTGACTCACTGCGACTGTCATAGACAGCAGTCTTGGAGGCCTGCAAGCATGCATAGCCTGGACTGCCTGAAGTCAGTCTGTGTGGCCATCGTGCTTGTGCGCTCCTGTAGGTGGGCCTGGCGAATGATGCGGACTGGAGCGGAGACGACTTTGTCCAGAATGCAGAAAGCATGGTGGCCAACAGGTAACCGTAATGAGCAGGAGCCAATACCTTGTTTGCTGGCTTTTTGTGATATTCGGACTGCCTAGTACCTGCTGGGGCTGGAATTTCTTGTTTGGTTGTTTTCATGACATTTACTCACGCCCTCCTGCCTCCTGAGTTGACGGGCATGAGGCTGAAGGTCCGCGGGTGGTGCTTTTGTTTTGGTGCAGTTGGCACACACATGCCCCTACCATCATAACACACGTTTGCACCACAGTGGGTTGCCATGCGCTCTGATCGCTGCATCTCCTGCCCTTGGTGTGTTGCATTCATTGCAGCCTCCCTCAGCAGCCCCTCTCATGCGGCCCTTACCAGCCTGGTAAGGGCAGCCCCATAGCTTGCTTGACTGCGACCCATGCAAAACCTTTGCGGCCGCGCGGCTTTGGGTTGTCTGTATTTGTCACACCCTGTGTACACCACAGTGTCAGTCCCCTTGCATGCCGCAGCTTGCCTGTAACACCCCCCTTGTAGACGCATGGGTCAAGTCCATGGATTTGGGCTCCTTTGTTTCAAATGGGGCCGCGCCCATGCTAGGCATTGCTGGTGACAAGGGAACAGGAGATACGGACTGTGCAGGCACCAGCGATCCGGGCGCCTTTCGGAGGAAGGCCGACATGGGTGACACACGACCGCATGCACTGTGCAGACTCCTGCTCGTAACTTCAGCAATGGCCGAGGAGGTGCGCCCCAACAAACCCGTACGGGCTTCACGACTATGATGCACGTGCGGCTCATTGAAAGTCATGGACATCAGGTGAGCTGCATCAAGAGCCCGGCAGGTGACGTGCACTGTGTGCGATGCCTGCAGCGGCGCCGCAGGACGAAGCGCCAGCAGTGCATCATCGCCGCAGCGCGTCTTGCCCCCTGGCATGACACACAAGCCCCGGATCAATGTAGTGCATATATCAGCAATGCACGCCTTTCAAATCGACCCTTGAGAGGTACCGCGGGGCTTCCGGAGAGCGCGCTCAAACATTGCGACCGCCAGCTCTCACAGGCACGTGACCCTGGGACCCCACACGCGCGCTGAACAAATCCACCTCAAAACAAATGCCTTCTTCGCGCATCGAGGAGCACGATCGAGGCCAGGCAGACAAGCGGATCTGAGAGGGCGCGAAGGGCAACTTTCCACCAAAAGCCCGCACCCTGCGTTTATCGCGCTATTCCACAGGTCTCTGTACCATTATATACAGGTCCCTGTTCCTTTTTGCGCCCGATCGTGCTCTCACATCGACTCTTGACAAACAGACAAAGAGGCAGCAACCATGCGCGAGGTCATCTCTATCCACATCGGCCAGGCCGGGATTCAGGTGTGTGTGCGTGTGTGCGTGCAGAGGGGACGCGGCGGCGCAACGGCGGCGGGGTGGGGTGCGCCACTGGCCTAACAGCCGTACCCCCGCTGACTTTGTCTCCTCCTTGCCCTGCTGCAGGTCGGAAATGCGTGCTGGGAGCTCTACTGCCTTGAGCATGGCATCCAGCCCGATGGGCAGGTGCGTGATGCAGCATGGATCGGTGGTGGAGGGGCGATTGAGGCCCGGGGTTCGAGTTGTGTTGCATCCGGACTGCCTTGGGCGCCAAGCGCCAACAGCCAAGCCGCCTCACCCTATCGGACCCCTGCCAACGTTTCAACCGTCAGATGCCTAGCGACAAGACGATCGGCGGCGGTGACGACGCCTTCAACACCTTCTTCTCCGAGACCGGCGCCGGCAAGCACGTGCCCCGCTGCATCTTCCTCGACCTCGAGCCCACCGTGGTGGACGAGGTCCGCACCGGCACCTACAGGCAGCTGTTCCACCCCGAGCAGCTGATCTCCGGCAAGGAGGACGCCGCCAACAACTTTGCCCGCGGCCACTACACCAGTGAGTCCAGCATTGCGTCTCTCTAAAGACGGGATTTGGCAACTAGGCCATGCGCAACTCGGTGGGGTGCTGATGGGTGCAGCATGGGTCCTGGCAACAGTGAATGAGGGCCTTTGTGCCAGCATGTGCATCTGCCAGTTCGTATAAGCGCATGCATGGGCGCATGACGAGCCCCCATGGCGAGCATGCCGAGCGCATGGTGCAGCACACCCATCCCCACCGGCCGCATACCTTCCTTTCTTTCCCTTGTACCAACCTGCCTCCAAACAACCCTCACACCCCCTCAACCGCACTCACTAGTCGGCAAGGAGATCGTGGACCTTGCCCTGGACCGCATCCGCAAGCTGGCCGACAACTGCACCGGCCTGCAGGGCTTCCTGGTCTTCAACGCCGTCGGCGGCGGCACCGGCTCGGGCCTGGGCTCCCTCCTGCTGGAGCGCCTGTCGGTGGACTACGGCAAGAAGTCCAAGCTGGGCTTCACGGTCTACCCCTCCCCCCAGGTGTCCACCGCCGTGGTGGAGCCCTACAACTCGGTGCTGTCCACCCACTCCCTGCTGGAGCACACCGACGTGGCCGTGATGCTCGACAACGAGGCCGTGTACGACATCTGCCGCCGTTCCCTCGACATCGAGCGCCCCACCTATACCAACCTCAACAGGTGCGCAGCGCGAGAGCAGTTGCGGTTGCAACGGGAGGGCAGGGACCTGCTATTGGGGGTGTGGGGAAGGGGTCTTGCAGTCTGGTCGTTGCAAGCAGCCGGCTGCTTGAACAGCAGCGAATTCGGAGCCCGACAAAAAATTATGTTCATACTCCTGCATCCATCCTGTTTGGTCCTGCAGCATCGTTTGTGCTGCTCTATATGCCAGCGTGACGCCTCCTGCACCTCCCTGGTTGCCCCCCCCTTCCTCCCCTGCAGGCTGGTCGCCCAGGTCATCTCCTCCCTGACCGCGTCCCTGCGCTTTGACGGCGCCCTCAACGTGGACATCACCGAGTTCCAGACCAACCTGGTGCCCTACCCCCGCATCCACTTCATGCTCAGCTCCTACGCGCCCGTGATCAGTGCCGAGAAGGCCTACCACGAGCAGCTGTCGGTGGCCGAGATCACCAACAGCGCATTTGAGCCCGCCAGCATGATGGCCAAGTGCGACCCCCGCCACGGTGAGCGGTCTGCAGCAGCAGCGTGCATGGCAGGGGTACTGTACATATTGTGCTGCCCCGGGTCCGCCGTTTGGGGTGTGCATTGCAGCTTGACGCAAATAGGCGGTGCAAAACAGTTTTGGGCTTGTGTTTGTGCGGACACACCCCATGAGCTGCTCAGCACTCAACCGTTCGCCCTCTTGCCCGGCACAATCATGCATCCGCAATCCCCCAGGCAAGTACATGGCGTGCTGCCTGATGTACCGCGGTGACGTGGTGCCCAAGGACGTCAACGCCTCGGTGGCCACCATCAAGACCAAGAGGACCATCCAGGTGGGGGGGGGGGCAGCCAACATTGCAGGTTCGGGCCGCGCACTGCTATTCACCTCTGTATGGCTGCATGTGGTTGTAGGGCCGCTCTGTTGATTTGGCCTGCACGCATTCCACACATTTAGGCAAACCCCTTTTCTCCTCACCTTTTGCTCTTATCCTTCCGATGACTTTCAAACATTCAGTTTGTGGACTGGTGCCCCACTGGCTTCAAGTGCGGCATCAACTACCAGCCCCCGACCGTCGTGCCCGGCGGCGACCTGGCCAAGGTGCAGCGCGCGGTGTGCATGATCTCCAACTCCACCGCCGTCGCCGAGGTCTTCTCGCGCCTGGACCACAAGTTTGACCTGATGTACGCCAAGCGCGCGTTTGTGCACTGGTACGTCGGGGAGGGCATGGAGGAGGGCGAGTTCAGCGAGGCTCGCGAGGACCTGGCGGCACTGGAGAAGGACTACGAGGAGGTGGGCGCTGAGAGCGCTGAGGGCCAGGGCGAGGACGAGGGCGAGGAGTACTGAGTGAGAGGTCCCTAAAGGGGAGGGCTCGCCTGTTTGAGCAGCGGCCTGCGCCGCTTGCATGGCCCGCTTTCCCTTTGCACGCACGCCCCTTTGTCGGCTGCGCGGCAAGGGGGTTGGATGTGCACGGCCACCATTTCATTATCAAAACTTGATCCAGCCTGTGGTCTCATAAGCGTGGTTCCCCTGCACGTTGTAAGCCCCACGAGCTGTCAATGCTGGTTGGTCCGCATGGTTTGACTCTTAGCCAGACATGGGGCGTTCTGTTCCAAAAGGACTGATTTGTACCAGTCAGTACGGCTGCTCATGTGGGCAAGTTGACAGAAGGCTGTGTGATGTGCAGCCGACAGCTGCTGGCATAGGCACAATCCTTTGCAGTTGACGTGTTTTAATGCAGCAAAGTTTATGATGTCAGGAGACGAGCATTTATGACGTCAGGAGACGAGCGCAAGTGAGACGTTGCCATGAGACGTTGTGATTCTCGCGCCTCATCATCAGGCGCTGCAGCTGTCAGTCCGGCTGAGAATGCGTGGAGCTGCCTGCGCCGAGCGCGGCAATTCGCTTTTGTTGTGTGCACGAGACATGCTGTCCCTACTGCGCGCTTGACCAGCCGCTTATCCCCAAGTGCGGCTTTGCCTTCCTCGAATGATTTGAGACAGCCAATGTTTGTGCTTTGCCACCTGGCAGGCTGCTCCAGACCCCAGATCCACCCAACACATGTCGTGTTTAACGGGCTCGGAGGTGCCGGTGTGGCACGGGGTCATCAGCGGCAGCAGAAGCAGCAGCAGCAGCAGCGGCAGCAGCAGCAGCAGCGGCAGCAGCAGCAGCAGCGGCAGCAGCAGCAGCAGCACTGCGATGATCAGCAAGTGCTAGTGGGCTTCAACCCTTTCGAGTTGAAGGGGTGGCAGGACGGGGCAGACGGAGGTGGCGGAACAGGTAGGCAAAGCTGGAGACACCTTTTGCTGAGGGGCTGGGCCGTGCGGCATTTTCAGGTGCCATGGCGCCCCATGCGGGCGTCGGACCGCGCAGGGCTAGCTGGCAAGGCAAACACCTCGGCAATACTGAGGGGCCCGTGACAGGCTGTAGCCTGGGGTCAGACTTTGCTTTCCATATGGTTGTCATAACACCCTGGACACAGCGGCAATGGCATATTGACTCGTGTGTTGTTGTGTGATGATGAAAGTGTGGGAGACAACTGCACGCCATGGTGGTTTTGGAAGGCCCCCAACACCACAGATGTGCCAGCGTAAGGAAGCAGGGATTCTCGAAATCCCTTCAGAGCAGGCCTGCCCATGAACCCCTTGACAGTCAGCTTGCACCACAGGGTTTCGGACAGGGGTGCGGTTATTGCAGCAGCTGTGGAGGTGCCAACTGCCTCTGAACGACCGATGCTGTGTGAGCAAGCGCATGTGCATGGGCAAAGGCATGCCCACTTCATGTGAATCGAGCCGGCCTGATGGACCGCTACCAGCCTAGGTGCTGCAGCACCAGTGTGACTCATCATGGCCACGCTTGACCACCTGCTGGCCTTCATGGTACTTGCATGCTTGTACTTTGGCCATGCACGTATCGTATACTTCGTGAAAGCATGCCCCTTCTAATAAACAGGAAAGGACTTTGCGACTCAGAAATTTGCCCGCCTGTCGCTTCAAATGGTTCGAGACTCGACGCAGCGCCCTGAGCCCGAGCTCGACAATCAACTAGAAGACTTGATCGTGTCCGGGAACTTGGAGGGGTTGCGACGCCTGCTGGATGTCCAGGCGCTAGCCGTTTCAGCGGGCAAGGATGCCCCAATCAGCAGCTGTGCAGTGCCGCCCGCAGCCCTGCACTTGGCAGCCGCGCACGGGCAGGCTGCGGCTGTTATGCTGTTGATCCATCGCGGCGCAGACATCAACGCATGCACGTCCACCGGCTACACTGCTCTCCATCACGCGGCGCAAGGGGGCCATGCCGATGTGGCGCGCACCCTGCTGGAATGGGGCGCATGCGCCAGCACAGACCGCCCTGGCCAACAGCCGCTGCAGCTGGCAGCCTCCAAAGGCCATGTGGCAGTCATGCAGTTGCTACTGGAGCACGGGGCACCGGCCGCCGGCGCCTGCGGAAAGCTGGCGCTGCCGCTTGCAGCAAACAACGCTGGCCTTTTGCGCCTCCTGCTGCAGCGTGGCGCGTGCTTTGCGCCCAATGACCCTGCCGCCGGCAGCGCGATGTGCTTCGCGGCGGCCTCTGGCAACGTTGCCCTGGTGCAGCTGCTGCTGGACGCAGGGGTGCCGATCGACGCCAAGGGTCCCAACGGGCAGCGCGCCCTGGTGGAGGCGATGCGATCCGATTCGGGGTGTGCCCCCATGGTCGCCGCCCTGCTGGACCGCGGCGCATCCATCAATGCAACGGACGCGCGCAGCTGGCAGGCGGTCCACCACGCAGCTGCCCACGGGCGGTCAGACGCTTTGCGCGTGCTGCTCAGCCGTGGGGCCGACCCCAACGCCGCCACTGTGATTGAAGCCAGCACCGCCCTAAATCCCGCCGATGATAAACTCTTTGCACCTGCAGCAGCAGCAGCCGGCCTCCGCCCCTTGCAGCTGGCTGCCATGAAGGCGCAACTGGATGCGGCCAGCGCGCTCCTCGACGGCGGCGCGGATGCATCGGCCGCAGATGCCTCCGGCCAGCAGGCGATCCACGAGGCAGCATCCTGCGGTGCCAAGGCAGTGCTGTCCTTGCTGCTCGCGCGAGGCGCGCAGGCGGACGCTGCGATGGCGGATGGCACCACTGCCCTGCACCTGGCAGCAGACGAGTGGCTGACGGAAATGATGCATGCGCTTCTCGACGCTGGAGCGTCCCCAAACGCCGCCGACAAGCGCGGCTGGACTGCTGCCCACTTTGCAGCCTCGTCCAGATGCCATGAGGCGCTGCACGTCCTGCTGCAGCGCGGCGCCGATGTCAACGCCGCCGCGGCTGATGGGAGGGTCCCGCTTCACATGGCGGCGGAGGCGGGCAGCAATTTGAGCCTCCAGGTCCTGCTGGACGCCGGCGCCCCAATCGACGCCGCTGACAGGGAGGGCCTGCAGGCGCTCCACCACGCCCTTGCAGCTGAGGACTTTGAGGAAAACAGCAACACAGTCGTCATGCTGCTGGACCGCGGCGCCCCCCTGCAGGCAGCCACGCGCGACGGCCGCACGGCGCTACATTTGGCGGCTGTGGTGGAGGATTATGAGCTGCTGGAGATGCTCCTGAACCGCGGGGCCGACGTGGGTGCGCAGGACGCGCGTGGGCTGCAGCCGCTGCACCTTGCAGCCGCCTGCGGAGACAGTGAGGCGGTGATGATGA